CCATTGATGTCATGAGTCCTCAAGCCACTACTTGCCCTGCCAGCAGATGGAAAATCTTAATGCACTATGACAACGCAAGATGTTGCGACCAGCGCGATTCGTCATCCAGTGCCGGCTGTTGTAGGTGATAAAAATGATATCGTGAGTTAATATCGCGCATTGATCAGCGTTGAAATTTTGATGTTCTGCGGCAAGATAGTTCCACGTCGTTTAGCGAAGTTTATTACGTGGTCCAGTCAGTGTCATCGCAGTTTGGTTCTGTTTTATGCGTTGACTCTTTGAATGCTGTTCCTCCTGAGATGAAATGGTGCGTACCATTTTAAATCATTTTATTGACTTAACTGCGCTAGGTTATAATTTTCTATCCGGATGTTATGTTTTGATGGATAGTTTTCTAATCGTGACTGTTTCGTCAGTGTGTAGCTTGCGGCCGCTGTAATCTGAGTGCGCCTTGAGGGCTGCAATATGCTGAACCTTGGGGTATGCAGCGATTTTCTAAATGGTGCTTCAGCAGCTTCAGCCAAGGATGAAGGCGTTTGTTCGTCACTGTCATAAAATCATTAAGCTTCACAAAAATCCGAAGTCTGAATTAATTACATTCGCCAAACAACATTCGTTTTCATCAATATCTAACATGAAGATTGGATTCTCGTTGAATTAACAGCGTCACCTTGCGGATAACTAAAATAGCGTTAATGGCTTCGAACTGGACACGCATGGAGATGAAATTTTTACGCACAATAGAAGAACGTAGCACGATTTTTTATCTGCTAACTGAACTGTATAGCTAGTTTATTTAGAATTTCCTGAATGTGGCCCCGGCTACTTTCAATGCAAGAATAAACGATGTCAGCCGGTTAAGTTTAGGTGTGACTATTATGATGACTGCGGCGACAACTCTGATGAAGAGAACTGTGGTGAGTTTTGATAGTTGGTTTCCTTCAGTACGCTCATGAGCAATGAATATTTGCATAGGTGCCTACCGCTGTCCGTTGAACCAGTGGAATTGTCCTCATTCTGGCCACTGCATCGACACGGAAAAACTGTGCGATGGCAAAGACGATTGTTCTGATCGCGCCGACGAACTTAACTGCAGTAGGTGTCATTGATTCACGTTGGTATCTCATACAGGAGATTCTATATATGTAGGCCGGATATTGTGTGGCGCGCTGTCTTGCGACTTTGTGTGTCGTTCGTCTCCTGACGGAGGAGTCTGCGCTTGTCCGCAGGGTTATCGCGTGAACCAGACCGACAGAAGATCTTGTCAAGGTTTGTCGGTGACATTCCAGCAATTATACATGAACAACTTGCAGATATCAATGAATGCTCTGAATACGGATATTGTGACCAATTGTGCGAAAATCATCGACCCGGTTTCAGATGTATGTGCTTTTCGGACTGTTATGAGCTTATTTTGAAAAACGACCGAGGCTACTGCCGGTCACACGAATGTAAGTCATCAGACGATTTTGTCATCATTCGCGCCAATATAATCACCGTTTTTTTAAGATAACCGAATGAGGTTGCTCGTAGCTAGGAGGGAAGGCCTGTATCGCATCAATCCATTCGATGACAGGCAGCCTTCTGAGAAACTGCTCAGCGGCAAGTTTCTGTACGGCGTAAACTACGACTTCGAAACGCACAAGCTGTTTTGGGTAGAAAGAGACGCCAGTGAAATCTACGAAGGAAACTTCGACGAAGAGTTCAACGGTATCATCAACTACAGGAAGCTGCCGCTATCAGGGCTAGTGCGTCCAAGGAACATCGCCGTCGATTGGATTACCAAAAAGCTGTACATCGTCGAGGCCGGGTCAAACAGAATCGATATCTCAGACTTCTCCGGCCAGCATCGCACTGTGCTGATCATGGATGATATGACCCTTCCGGTTGACATCGCCGTTGATCCTACTCGAGGGTATGAGACTCGCCGACCTGATGAATTTCATCCATTAAGATTGTTTTAGATTGATGTTTTTCACAAACGAGAAAAAGCTAGAACGGAGCGGCATGGACGGCAGTGATCGTCAAGTGCTGGTGGCGAATCATACTTACCAGATAACGTCGGTGACACTTGATCTCGTTGGTGCCAGAGTTTACTGGTGCGATCCCAAGATTGACGTCCTGGAGTCAGTTAAATACGACGGAACCGGCAGGTATCTTTAATTGTGACTGCATCAGACTATCGAGCATTACTTTATCCCAGGAATGTTTTACTCCTTTCCTGTGAATACGTTACGCACTGGATAGGATTTCAAATGATGAGGACGAAATGCCATTAGTTAATAATCAATAATGCTTCAGCCAGTTTGCAACAAAGACTATGAGCTTACTCTTAAAAGGCGTTGACAGCCACTTTCACGTTTCAGTCATAAGACGGAGAATTGTCAATGCTTATGTACCGGAATAGAGTTTCGTTTTTGCTTTATGGGTATGCCAAGAAAT